CACATCATGGCACAAACTACTTGCCAAACAAGTACTAGATTCAATATGCCAATTCAAAAATTTTAAGATTTACAGCATGTTGAAAGATCAACTCACATATGTAACCTGAACATTCAAAAGAATAGAATTAGACCTTTTGTAAAAGTGTACATACTTTTATTATGAGTTAACTGTTCTTTATTTTTTTAGAAGAGATTTTTCTTTTTTTCCTTAATTGCTCATTTAGTATTTAGGGAGGAAAAGACACCAGTTATGAGGGCTTGGGGATTTTTTGTTTTATTTTGTTGTTGCTATTCTTTTGCACAATTGACCATCTGTTTCAAGGTAATGTTCACAGACTGTACCAAATTGGTAAGAAATCTCAAGTGATTCATATGTTGCATTAGCTTCCTCCATCAGGAAAGCTGAAGTTAGCCAGAAGTGTCAGCTTCACAATGGAACTTTTCTGAGACTGTAAGTAAGTATTTTTGTGGTTGAATCTGAGGCTTTAATTGAAAAGATCACTTTTTGCTTGTTTGATTTTGATTTGAGCTTTTGTATTGTTTGTTGTTGTAGTCGTTGTTGTTCTGAGGAGGGGTGAGAGGTTATTAGGCACACTGGGAGGTTTTTAGACTGCTCCTGGTTCTGTGCTCCAGGGTTGCTCTTGGAAGTGCTCAGGAGACCATATGCGAAGCCAGGGATCAAACCAAGATTGGATGCACACAAGGCAAATGCTTTAACCTCTGTATTACCTCTCTGGCCCAACTTGTTTTTAAAAGAACAATTTATTAATTTCTATGTAATTACTAAGGACGGTTTGAGGTTCACAAACTATTTTGGTATGCTGCCCACTTTTCATCAGGGAAGAACTGCTGCTCAGTGAGGCTGGGAAGATATTCAGGAGATTGGAGAGGCAGGACAGGAGTTAAGAGTACATGCCTTGCATGCATCTGACCTGGAACAATAGCTAGCACCATGTGGCCTTCTGGGCTTTGTTAGATGTGGTCCAGAGGACCCTTCACTCAGTAGGGTCCAACAGCACCGCATTTTCAGTTCCAAGCATTGAACCCTGGAGGAATGTAACTGGAAGAAGCCTGAGCACCATTTTGGATGAGAAAAATGCACAGCCACCCTCTGGAAATTCACCTTTTTTATTGATTGATTGATTGATTTGCTTTTTGGGTCACACCCGGCAATGCACAGGGGTTACTCCTGGCTCTGCGCACAGGAATTACCCCTGACGGTGCTCAGGGGACCATATGGGATGCTGGGAATCGAACCCAGGTTGGCCGCGTGCAAGGCAAACGCCCCACCCTCTGTGATATTGCTCCAGCCCCAATTCAGCTTTTTTAAACAAACAGAAAATGCCCCCTCAACCGTACCCAAGGCTACAATTGCCATCATGGCTTCATTGACACCACCGCTAGCAACCCCACCTGACACTCTGACTTAGCAGGCCAGTAACTGGGCAAATTTCTTGACTTCTCAAAACCCCACTTAGCGCAACTTTAGCTAAGAAGAATCCATACCTCTGTGGTATGCTAAAATGAGATGACCATGGTATAAACACGGGCTTAGCACAGACCCGGCACATGATAAATGTCAAGTAAAATCTACCTGAAACTGCTCTGCCTGACATTAGGTCAAAGTCAAGTTCTTTCCTTTTTCCCCTTTAATAAAGAGGATATAGCTCTTCATATATTGTACTAATTTACACAGCCACCTCTCTAAAAACAACAGAGAGTTAATCATCTATCTGTTCAACCTACAAAGTGGAGAAATTTTTGGTTTTGTTCTCACTTACATCTCAAAAATCTACACCACTATTCTTCCTTTGGCTGGATGAACAGGACAGGAAGTAGGAGCTCATTAGTGTGCATTTTATCACAAGTACTGAGAATAGTACAGCAGGGTAGGATGCTGAGCTTGCACACAGGCAACCATCCGAGGTTCAATGCCTGGTACCCCATATCATCCCCTGTGCACATCAGGCATAATCCCAGAGTGTATAGTTAGGAACAAACCCTGAGCATCAGATGTGGCCTCCAAACAAAACAAAACAAAATAATAACTATTGAGATACTTATGGCATACTATATTACAACAATAATTCATCCTACTTGTATAAATGAAACGATGAAACCTAACCCTTTGTGAAGGTAAGGTAAGGTAAAGGCCCTCCCGTTGATCGTGGATTTGCTCGAGCGGGCCCAGTAACGTCTCCATTGGAGACTTTGTTGTTACTGTGTTTGGCATATCGAATACGTCACGGGGAGCTTGCCAGGCTCTGCCGGGCGGGCAAGAGAGATACTCTCGGTAGCTTGCCGGGCTCTCCGGGCTCTCCGAGAGGGGCGGAGGAATCAAACTGGGGTCGGCCATATTGGCCGCTTGCAAGGCAAATGCCCTACCCACTGTGCTATCGCTCCATGTGCATTAATGTTGGTTAAATGCAAAAATATAGACATATGGGCCAGAGTGATAGCATGGTGTGTAAGGCACTTGCCTTGCATACAGTTCAATCCAGGGAGTTCCAAATGGTCATATGATCCCTGAGCCCATCAGGAGTGATACTTCAGCACAGATACAGGAGTAAGTCCTTAGTACTGCCAGGTGTCACCCCAAAACTTATATATGTAAAACATTTAAATATGTGTAAAACATATAAATATATGCAAAACATATATATGTATAAATATATATAAAAACATATAGAGGTCATAAAAAATCTGAAGTTCGATATAACCTATCAAAACATCTGATTTTTATATCCTATCTTAAAATTTTACCTTGCAACTGAAAATGCTGATTATGTCTGAGACACTGGAAATTCGGGAGGTTGAATGACAAAATAACTTTATGGATTGTCGGGTCAGAAAAGAACCTAGACTTAAATCCAGCTTCTGCTACAAAGTAGGCCTAATTCTCAAGGATAAGTGGATTGAATAAAATCAGGCATTTTAAACACAGGAGGAGGAAAATTATTAATGCAAAGTAAATCTGGAGACTCTTCTCTCTTCTCTCTCTCTCTCTCTCTCTCTCTCTCTCTCTTTCTCTCTCTTTCTCTCTCTCTCCCCCTTTCTCTCTATTTTTTTTGGAGGAGGCAACCACCCTGCTAGAGACTAAAGTGAATCCTTTATTTAAGGAAAAGAGAAAGTAGCAAAGACTCTCCCACAAGTGCGGGGGAGAAGTTCAAGTGGGAACAACCCAGGAGATATATTTAAAGTTGTGAACTAAGTATGCGAAGTTAGCTCACTAGCTTAGAAACCAGTAGAGCCAGGTTTTAAAAGCATCCCAGCTTTTCTCTTGCTAGCTCTATGATGTTGGCCAAGGCCAAGTCATTCTTTGTCAGGCCCGCACCCACCCCCCCAATTTTACCGTTAGGTATTAGTTTATCACAAATATGATAACCATTGACTACACATCATGAAATTTGGGAGGGTTGTGGACTCTATTCCTCACAATAATCCTTCACGATAGGCATTTTTATCTGCTTTACATATGGTTGTAACAGGAAAAGTTAAACTTGTTCAAGCTAAATTGTAGAACTGCATCTACATTCAAGTTTATCCTTCTACAAATCAACATTCACTAGCTGATGGACCCCTGCCACCTGTTCCTAGCAAACGTTAAGGAAACTGTTCCTGTGTAGTGCTTTTTCAATGAGAAGTCTTGTTCAGATGTCAGAAGTATTATTATTATTGTTATTGTTGTTGTTGCACTAGTCTATATCCACATAATTCACAAAATCGGTTTGTATTCACCCTCAGTACCTGAAATAACATCAAACTCTCATCTCTTGGAACTTCGCCTCCCCCTCAATTTCCTTTGAACATAACTTGATAAACACTACGGAATAATACCCACACATCAGTCTAGAGCCCTCAAAGGCAAGCACACTGCAAGCCCAGGAGTCCTGGGCAACAAATTAGCATGCTTTTCTTAAACGTCACACATCCCTTAGGTGTGGTGACAAAGTATTTTCTGGAACTAATTGCTCACACCTACATTTTGCAGCTTGCACCTGCAGGATAGAGAGAGATGTGACAAACACTAGTGCTTCCCTGGATCGTTGATAAAGCAAAAACTCCTGCCCCAGGTCACCTGAGGAAAGCAAAATGCCAGTCCCTTATTCAAGCTTCTGACAGGTACCCACTTGATGCAAAACAATGGAGAACTGTCTGAAATGCTTGAAACCCATCACTTAGATAGCAGGCCCCTGTAATAACAAACTTCTGGGAGACTGAAGAATACCCAGGAGTCAATCTGTGTGGGGGGAGGGCCTCAAAGGCAAGCCCTCTACAAAAGACTTCTTTTCCCCACCTTTTCTTTTTGTGTGTGTATCTATTTTTTTCAGTTAAATTATTTTATTTTTATAAAGTAGTTCAAAAGATTTGATTACATTTAATATTCGAACACCAATCCCACCATGACAAATTCCCACCACCATATTTCGCATGTTTCTATCCCAAACCCCAATCCCTGCCCCCAAGCAGAACCGAAATCATTTATTTGGTATTGTTTGTTATGAATATACTGCTGAAAATGCTCCCAAAAACTTTCCTTAGGGGAGAGTGTGTGAAGATTGTTGTATTTCACCCTGGGGCCATTAAGCCCTTCCATAAGAGATTACTAATATGTTATTAAAGGTTGAACCTTGTGTGCATATATATGTAAAAAATATATTTCTCTTATAAGACTGGTTGCCTTCTACTTTAAACCCCATCTAATGCTTTCCCCACCTTTTCTTTGCTTTGAATGCCTGAATGGGTCTCTCCGCTCCCCCTCCCCCCTTCCCCCCCAGGGCCACGGAGCAAAGTCCACCCGACGTGGGCGTGTCCGTGTCCCGCAGCAGGACCAGCGCTCACGCCCGCCTCGGCCGCACCCGGGGGGGGGGGGGGGGGGCACACGAGCAGAAGTGCAGGTGGCCCCAGGGCCGTCCCACGCCTAGCCTCTGCGCGCGGGGGGACTCCCCCAGGCACCTCCGTCCCTTGCCAGTGCCCCCTGGGCTCCCCCGCCCGTACCTCGGCCGGTGAGAGGGAGAAGGCGCCGGCGATCTGCTCGTACAGCTCCTGGTTGCTCGAGAAGCCCTGCAAGCGGGCCGTGGGGCTGCCGTGCGCCAGCTGCGCGTGGAACTCCAGCCGCCGCGCGGGCTCCTTGGGGCCGCCTTCCGCGCCCCCCGGCCCCTCCTCGCCGTCCACCAGCCGGGCGGTCTCCTTGGACGAGCGTTTGTCCTTTCCCCGCAACCCGAAAGGCATCTTGCCGGACCGACGGCCGAGGCCACCTGCGCTGCCACCGATCGCCGCCTCCGGGGCCTCGCGCCGCGAACTTTGCGCTCCAGCCCGCGGGCAGCGCGCAGGTAAAAGGCGCCTCCGGGCCAATGGCAGAGGCGCTTCCGCCTCCCGGGCGCCCCGCTCCACCCGCGACCCGCAGCAGACACCTGCCAGGCCTCCCGGAGGATCGATCTGCGAGGCAGGGCTCCGTCGGCAGCTCATCCTTCGCTTTCCCGGGTTGCTCCGGGAGAGAGCAGGGTAGGGTTAGGGCCCCTGCAGGGCACCGGACCCGGTGGGAGCGCCCGCACCACCTGATCCCCCACCATCCCATCCGTCATCCCCGCCTCCAGCGACACTGGAGTGTCCCCAACACCAACAGAATGGCCCCGCAAACTCCAACGCTCCGCAGGGCTGGAGCAGCACCGCGTCTTCAGGCTCCAGCCCTAGCACATGCCAAGTGGGCTGAGCATCTCCCAGAGGGAGAGGCCCCTGGCGCCTCTGAACGCTGCCTCGGAGCCCCCTCGCCCTGCAAGATTGTTTAAGTTTAAAATAAGTAAAAACGGTTCCAGCTGGGGCAGGGAGATAGTTCTGGTGGAGTATGTGTAAGGTCCCACATTGGATTCCTGCTATCTTGGGTGCCTCATACTTCAATACCGTGAGTAATGGCCCCTATCTGGAGGGAGGGAGGGAGGGAGGGAGGGAGGGAGGGAAGGAAGGAAGGAAGGAAGGAAGGAAGGAAGGAAGGAAGGAAGGAAGGAAGGAAGGAAGGAAGGAAGGAAGGAAGGAAGGAAGGAAGGAAGGAAGGAAGGAAGGAAGACAGGCAGGCTAAATTTCCTTAAAGACCTTGGAATGCAAAAGCTATTGAACTTGTCCTAGAGTACAAAGAGGAAGATGTACTTCCTCTTTGCACAATGTATGGTGCATTTCATAGGCTCTCAACCAGGCGGTTTACCTTGCCAGTAACTCTTTCTCGGCTATCTGTCACCTTTATGCCTTACACCCTGTACACTGAATTGAAAGGAAATGGTATTTTATTTTGTTGGGGACTAAGATTGTTTTGGCTTCAGCCCTGGGTCAATCCCAGGACTGAACCCAGGGCCTCATACATACAAGGCAAGCGAGGAATATTTCTTATACTGATGACTATGAAATTCTTAGACAAATGCTCTCAGCATCTCACAGTAATTGTTTTCCTTTTCCTCTCCCACTTTCCTAAACTGTTTCACCAACCTGTTTTGTTTTTTTTTTTGGTTTTTTGGTTGTTGGGTTTTTGTTTGTTTGTTTGTTTGTTTGTTTTTTGCTTTTTGGGTCACACCCGGCGATGCTCAGGAGTTACTCCTGGCTCATGCACTCAGGAATTACTCTTGGCGGTGTTCAGGGGACCATATGGGATGCAGGGAATTGAACCTGGGTCGGCCATGTTGGCTGCATGCAAGGCAAACGCCCTACCCACTGTGCTATCACTCCAGCCCCTCACCAACCTGTTTGCCCGCCCCGCCTTTGCCCGTCATCTCTGCAGACTCTGCCTCTTCTCATTAAACAAAGGCTATAAGGTGTGACTGCCTGACCTCAATTTCCTACATTTTTGTAATTTCATCACCTTCCCCTCTCCAAACTTCATCTTCATTTGACTGATCACATCTCCTATCTTGTCAGAGACTCAGCTTTAAGAATTGACTCTTGTCCTTTCCTTCCAACCTGGTGCCACACATAGTTCTATCCTTTCCAAGTCGCTAATATTTTTTATAAAAAAAAACAATCCATTTCCTCACTTCCTCCTTTGCTCTTAAACATGTCTTTATGAGACTTTGACCCCAGAGTCTACTGAACATTTCAGCACTTCTGAATCAACAGATGTGATTAACCCTTTTAAGTCTGTATCTTTCTTGTCCTTAAAGAATAACTTTTGGATCCAGAACAATAGTGGAATGAGTAGAACACTTGCCTTGCAAGAGACCAACCCAGGTTTGATCCGTGGTACTACATATGGTCCCTCCCAAGCCCCACCAGGGGGACATGAGTACAGAGTACAGAAGTAAGCCTGAACACAGCTAAGTGTGTCCCCAAAACCAAAAATAAAATGAAATAAAATAATTTTCATTCATAAACCGGGCCTCTGTTTTGATTCCTCACCTCTCTCCCTCTTTACTACGTGCTCCTTCCCTAGAACTGTGTTCTCCATGACTAATTTCTCAGTAGCCACCTTGTTTCATCCTCTCCCTGACTAAACACATCTGTTTTGGCTTCAGAGGCTGCTATGTGCAGCTCAGTGTTCCAAAAGGAGGATCTGCTAGATGATACCCAAATTGAGATGGTAAAAATTGAGCTCTTCTGAAACTGTCTCTTCTGAAAGCAGTTCTGCCTTTTATGGGCTTTTTAGGTTCTTGGAGGGGTGCACCCTGTATTGCTCAGAGGTGCTATCTGGCAATGCTCAGAGTACCATATGTGATGCCAGGATTTGAACCAGAGTTCATGTCACTGCCACATGATAGGCAACTGTATATCTATACTATAACTATACTGTCTGTATGACCCTGAAACTAGTTTCTTATTCTCTTTTTTTAAACTCCTTTAAAAAAAAAAACTTGGCCATGTAGTCATTGACTATGACCAGACATCTTTTTGGAGGTCTATGGGGGGTATGCTCTGCAGTGCTCAGGGCTTACTCCTGATTCAGTGCTCAAATATCACTGCTGACAGTGCTTAGGAAATTATATGCAGTAACAGGGCTAAAACCAGGTTTGGTGTGTGCAAGGCAAGTACTTAACCCCTGTACTATCTCTCAAGTTCAAGACAAGACATCTTAGGATCATCATACCAATCTTTTTCCTCTCCTGTACTTTTATATAAATTCAGCCTTGAAAAAAATCATGTTTCTCATATGAAGATTATCAGACATACTGACATCTGGAATTACCAGAGAGAGAAGAATTTATTATTCTTTCGTATAGCTTTTAAAAGTTTGTGTTTTCAATAATTAATTTAAAATAGATTAAGTAGTTTATTAGAGCAGAAACCACAAAAGCAAATGGAATAAATATAAAATAGACAACCACCAGAACTCAAATCAAAGATATGTTTGGATACTCTGCTTTGTTGGCAATGGAAACAAAAGGAAAAAGAAATGGGACTTTCTCGAAAGAGATCAACAAGTTGCTTGATTCTTCAACAAGTCAGATGCTTCCAGATTCTGCACCAGACTGAGTCATCCAGAGCATCCCAGAGGAGGGTGGGTGAACAAACTACCCACACAAACAGAGCCCTGACAGCCAAAACTTCCACACTTCACAGTCACTGCCATGCTCATGGTCAGACTCCATTGTTCAGGACAAGCCTCATCCAGAAATTGATCTGTTGGAAAACTCAGGTATGTGGGTTTTGTGACTGAAATCTCCAGGCTCTTACAGAATCAGAAATGGGCTATCTCTCCCCATCTCCCTGTTCTTCTGGGAGCCTCATAGTCATGCCCGTGAACTGCCTCTGGCACCAAATAAGCTCATTAACCTAAATGACCATGATCCAGAGACACATAAATAGATCTCAAAGTAGATCAACAAGTTGCAGAGATGCTTCCAGACACTGAGCCAGGCTCTGTCATCAAGAGCACCCAAAGTCACCATCCAGTTAAAAATTTAACTCCAGTTGTATCACCCCATTTAAAATGTTTGGATTCCTGGAGCACACAGCCACAAATGTGACCATGTGACATCTCAAACTACAACACTGATAAGCAAGGAGTAGCACAGCACATTAAATGGAGTGCAAAGTAGAAGACAACAAATCTTGATTAAGAAAATATTAACACACAAGGCTTAACCTGTAACCACATGTTAGCAATCTTTTCTACAAGGGCTTAATATCTCCATAGTGAGATACAACAATATTCACACACTTTCTTATAAGGAAATATTTTCATCTTTTTTTAGTGAATTACTTATAACAAGCAATATAAAATAACCTATTCAGGGCCTGCTAGCCTAGGGGTAGGCTTGAGGGTCGTTGGGAAAATTGGAAATAATGGTGGTGGGAAGGTGCAATGGTGGTGGGATTGTTGTTGGAATATTAAATGCAATAAATCATCATGAACAACTTTATAAAAATAGATATTTTGTCCAGAATAAAAGAAATGGGACTACTTCTTTTTTTAAGTTCTCTACAGCAAAAAACTACCACAAAAACAAAAAGGTAACTGAGCAATTGGGAGAAGGTATTTGCATTAAAGTGTTAGTGTCCAAATATATAAAGAATTCACACAATGCAACTACAATGAAAAATAAGTAAACCAATCCCCAAAAATGAACAGAAATTCTAAACAATCTCTTCTCTAAAGAAGACCTGCTGATCACACACACACACACACACACACACACACACACACACACACACATCAAAAGATGCTCAATATCACATTTATTAAGGAAATACAAATCAGAACCACAATGAGATACCACCGGATACCAGTGAGAATGGACCATGTCAAAACCATTGTAAACAACTATTGGTGAGGATGTGGGGAAAAAGGATCTCTGATGTACTATGATGAAAGGGAGACTAAACTGGTACACCCTCTGTGGGAATGGTATGGAGGTTTCTGTTTTTGTTTTTGTTTTAAGTAAAGTGGAAAGCCAAAGATATAGTACAAATAGTTCAAGTGCTTGCTTTGCACACAGATGACTTCATTTCAACCCCCAGCACTGCATATGACCCCCTGAGCACAGTCAGGTGTACCCTCCCCCCCAAAACAAAAAACAAAAAAGAAAATCTAAATTCTATATGATCTATAACTTTACATGAGCAACAACACTCCTAGGTATTTATCTGATATAAATGAAAGCACTAATTTGAAAAGATGTTTCCCCAAAGGCCTACATCAAGTTCACCTTTGCTATAAAACCACTAACGGAGTCAGCTATATTGGCCATAGTCACAGCAAAAAACATATTATTCACAAATTAACAATAGGCATTGAAGGTCTGTAATGCCCTCCCCTAAGTGGTTTAGGATACCACT